AAACCTAATATTTTCTTACGAGAATTGATGCGAAAAGGATGTTTTTTAGAAAGCTGAAAAACATAAAATCAGCCATTGGTTTATGCAGAAACTCGTATAACCATGAGCAAATTCAGTCTGAAAACATATTTTAAACGAAGCAATGCAGTTGTCAAAACTGACCTAATTCCTGATACAGTTGTCTGTGTCGTTGACTCCTATCTCGATGCTCTCTAGACTTGTCTATTGGTCGTTTCTGATTTCCGTCCGTTTGATCCCATAAATCTGGGCATTTCCGCTGAATAGTCTTCCATATATCAAGCCATGGCCGTCCGAAGGCAGCCATCCAATGAAGAGCATTCCACTTGTCTGAAGTCGTCACAACAGAAAGAGACTGACTAGACATCTCGCCGACGAGAAATTCTGACACCTCTCTGTGTCCATTCTTTATTGCTATCATTAAAGGCGTTAGACCATCCTTGTCTCCTTGTTCCAACGACGAGCCAGCTTCAACCAAACGTTTGACTTCCGGGAGATTTCCTTCTCCTGCAGCGGCAAATACGTTCTGCTGGCTAGCCATGGCATTAGGTGTCTAAAATATATTTATCAAATTTCCTTAAAACACAACTTTATTATATAATTCATAAAATGATTAAGTGATATCTCGATGGAATCACGTTGCACCACGAAAGGGTAGAAAGCAGACATTGGATATCTTCATCTAAATACAAAGTTATTGAGTTTCCACTGATTGGACTTTTGAAAAAATAAAATTGTAACTAATGCAAATTTCTTTTTGTATTCGGTACTGGAAAAAATAGACACCGATTGAGATTTATAATAATAATAATAATGACAATAATAATTCGAGGTTCTTATATACCGCTTGATCACAACCTAGTTCGTAGGTAGTATCAAAGCAGTTCACAAATTATTATCCGTTGTTATAGAACCTTTGCAACCAACCAATATCTTTCTCAACTCCCTGGGGAGCATACAGCCGATGCTGCCATTTCAGCGCTCACAACTAGCATCCTACCATTACAGCACTGCCCAACCACGTACTTATTTACAGCTGAGTAGACTGGAACAAGCGGAGTAAAGTATCTTGCTCAATGATACAACACAGTGCCGTGCCGTGACTCGAACCCGCAACCCCTCGGTCACGAGCCCGGCGTCCTACCACCAGACTACCGTGCCTCCTGACTAACAGTAAAACAAAATCCGTATTCCAGAAAAATAAAAACAAAAAGCCCAAAGTGTGTTATCGGATGAGCATTGGTTGCATATCTAACACCCATCGGGGCTTTTTCTGTTCTCTCAATCACAAATCACCATAGTATAATGAAAATCCGAAGTTGTTCATTTTTGAACGATAAAAATAACCACCTCATCTCGAGGCAACAATAGGTTAGGGTTACGAAATAGTACGTAAAGAAGATTAAAAAAACTGCTGAATCAAACAAAAATAACATGAAACGTGAAAACAATTGCTAACAAAAATCGTAACTTAACCTGAACAATATTTATCTGCAAACGCATGGAAAAGTACAAGAGGAAATAGACTAGGCGTTCCAGAATGACAAAACGTCTTGGCTTTTCGACGACATATTCCATATAAATCAGGATCAAATCCAAGTAATGTCACGTCCTCAAAGGGAGAATTGGGATAATGACAAGATGAATAAGTCGGTATCGACAAGGTGAATAAGTCGGTATCCACAGGATAAATAAGTCGGTATCGACAAGATGAATAAGTCGGTATCAACAGGATAAATCAGTCGGTATCAGCAAGGTGAATAAGTCGGTATCGACAAGATGAATAAGTCGGTATCAACAGGATGAATCAGTCGGTATCAGCAAGGTGAATAAGTCGGTATCTACAAGGTAAATAAGTCGGTATCGACAAGGTGAATAAGTCGGTGTAGTCATGGAAAATTAGTCGGTATCGACAAGGTGAATAAGTCGGTATCAACAGGGTGAATAAGTCGGTATCCATAAGGTGAATAAGTCGGTATCGACAGGGTGAATAAGTCGGTTTCCAAAAGGTGAATAAATCGGTATCCACAAGGTGAATAAGTCGGTATCGACAAGGTGAATAAGTCGGTGTAGTCATGGAAAATGAGTCGGTATCGACAAGGTGAATAAGTCGGTATCAATAGGGTGAATAACTCGGTATCCACACGGTGAATAAGTCGGTATCCACAAGGTGAATAAGTCAGTTTCGACAAGGTGAATAAGTCGGTATCGACAAGGTTAATAGGTCGGTATCGACAAAATGAATAAGTCGGTATCGACAATGTAAATAAGTCGGTATCGACAAGGTGAATAGGTCGGTATCGACAAGGTGAATAAGTCGGTATCGACAAGGTGAATAAGTCGGTGTAGTCGAGGTGAATAAGTCGATATCGAAAAGGTGAATAAGTCGGTATCCATATCACAAAATTAGATATATTGGACGTTTTGATGCGGAAATTTTAATATGAAGAAAATATTGTTCACGTAATTGTTTAAATCAGCACATCGTCGATACGTTTTAAAGTAAATTGGAAGTACTTGGATTTTTTGTGCCAGTCCTAATAAGCTATTCAATAAATTCAGCCTCGCATGAAAACAAAAGTTTACCAGAAAAGGATGACAGTTTCTTCCCAAAGAAATACACACAACCCAACACGGAGGTAGCCATTAACACGTGTTGTCAGTGACTTGATACATTGGTCCCTATCTGCTTATAAGCTTATCATAATTTATATTTTATGGCAAGAAACGTTCCAGTTCAATAAGGTAAAACGCTATCAAAACAGTTTACCATAGTACCATACCTTCTCCGTGTGTCAGCACCATCAAGTCTTACAGTATGTGACCCTGGTTGTACCAGGACGTTGTTAATACTGATCCTTGTCAAACATGTAGAAAGATACAGCTAGGTATGTCTGGTGAGTCTGACTGTATAGCGTCGTGGTTGGTGCACATTACCAATCGATACACTGTAACGTCATCACATTTACATTGACGTTCTATTTTGCAGTCAGCTTCTTTCTTATTTTTATTTTTTTTTATTTCAGCCTGGTTTTACCGTTTCCAGTTTTGTCTTTCATTTGATAACCATATTCGAAATAATAATAATCTTATAATCTATTTAATTCATTTTGCTCGTCAATGGTTTCGATTTACGTAGTGCTTGCATGCTAATGACGAGCGTATTGACATGTAGTCTAGCCAGCCAGTAGTCAGATCAATATCTTTATAAATCAATGCTGTACTTGTTCTTTAATGCAGACCCACGTTAGTGGATCAGCTGAGTACAGCGATGAAAAAGGGCGCGAGAGAGTGGGACATGCATGTAGTTGAAACAGTATTTTTTGAAATTTCAAAAGTCCATATATATTAGGAAATAGCTAAGTAATGATATTATGAATGACGGAGAGGTCGTTTCTTTACCAGGTTGTGTTTGTAGCAGACCGCTTTGGTGTAGTATCAACTGTATCTAGATATATTTCTAATAATGTAGTTAATTTCATGACTTGTTTCACTTTTATTTCCTTATGCCTCTACTTCCTTTCACTTTAAGTACTCGTATCTTCCTTGTCAGTCTGTGTTCTGAGTGTACGTGGCTAGGGGTAGAACTGATAAAGAACCGATGGCTAGAAATAATACCGCTTTACCTGGTGTAGTGAGCTTTTAATCGTTACTACACTATCTGATGAGGCATTACACTGTCGCTAAATAAAGAGTCTCATTGAATTCACTTCTATCTGTTCTACTTTAAATTTGTTATATCATTTACTCATAAATTAAATTACAAAAGTAAAAGGTTTCATAGAATGTAGGTAGCATTGTTTCATAACGAGTTTGTTCTAAGGGAGGAACTTGATGAATGGCAGCTATTTATACAATATCTTTAAAAAGTGTACAGGATAAAGCCTGTACTTGAGTAAATCTATATCGATATACTCACGATTCGTTTGCCTCTGCTGTCGCCTCCACCTTCGAAAGCATAAATCATCAACTGTGACCTGCCTTCTACATACCAACTATCTGAGTTAAATTTGTATAAGTTTTAAAACGTTTTGTTAAATTTCAAAAGCCTAGCCTTGACATAACCTCAGCGTTTGCGCTATTCTAGCATAGGTAAGTAAGGAAACATAGAAGGTAACAAATTCCAGCTGGCACGGTATTTGAGATTTTCTTTGTGTATTTAAATACAGCAATTGAATGAGGAACAAGTTCCAACAACGGCATTAAAGCCCACTCTCGACAAGAATTACATATATATTGAACATATAGCAAGCGTTTAGATGGCATGATTTGAAAAACTGCACTTATTTTTAATTGACAGAGCTGTTATATGTAGACTGCATGTATATTAAAGCAATAAAATACATTTACCGTTTGTCAATCAATGTTTACAAGTTTCTGAAAATACCCATTATCTCTGATAAGCTCTTCAAATCTGAGAGCGTGTTCGACTTGGTGAACGTGCATGCATGTTTATGTTAGCGCGTGCCTTTCGGAATGTATAGTCCGTATCAATATGTGAGAAGACCCACGACTTAACATCGTATTAACGTTAAAGACTACACTGAATAACACATATCTTCATCACGGTCACGTGGTATTGTTTCTACAGTAATTCATTTTAAATTAATTATATCTTATAAATGGCATGCTGTACACTGGATGACTGAAGACAAGTGTGTATATGTGTATATCATAAGGAAAAACATATAAGTAGAATATGTAGAGGTGAGTTAAGGTTCATCATACCCGTCTGTTCCTAATTAATCAGCTGCCAACCAACATACCAAAGACACCACACCCTTCGCCGACTACGTCGTCGCAGAGTGAATCGTGGGAGACCAGCGGACACGTAACCGCTACACAAACACAGGACAACGCACCACCAGCTTCCCGGCCAGGCTCTGGTGGCTGAGGAAGGTCCACCACGCTAATCCTAAGACAAACGGCATCACAACTGTCTTCTCGGAGATCAACAGTACAAAGAACGTTTACAGAATACAACACGGTACAGGAGGAACCATCAGACAACGTCAGAGTTTAGGCTATATCACAACATTAACGGCCGACTGAGGCAGCATTGCTTCTAGAGCACTTGGGATAACTCGTACCACAACTGTGTTCTAATATTCTACAACAGAAAACCTTCCTACAGGAGTAGCAGGAACAGTTAAGTGATGAGCTCTGCTGAGATAACGTTTGTATAGGACTGGCAGACGTACGCTATAATAAAGCATTGTATATGAAACTTGTATACGGTTCTGTCAGCTGCAGGGATTAGGTTGTATATAGTAAATATCATAGCAGGTTGTATTAATAAGTGGTTACTTTGACTGTAAGTATTGCGTTATTAGTATGTAATGTTTGTTATGCTTAGTAATTTGTATATCATCTAGTAACTGTTACGTACATTAAATAGAGTTGTATCTAAAAAAAACATATTTTGTAATTACACATTAATGTATATATAAAATTATGAAAAACACCGGAAGTACGCTATCTGATATACGTTGGTTTAAAGAGCACATCGAATATCAATGTACTGTGTAAGATATAGGCATGTAGTTTAGCTTTGAAAGGTAAATTTCGAGAATCATAAAAAGAGACTGAAGAAGTTAGAACGAGAGATCGAGTTGAGTGGTAGTCTGGTAGTTTAAGCTGTATTTAGGTAAATAAAGATGAAATAGATCTATTTTAATATAAATGTATTGATTTTGTATATCAAATACGGAAAATGGGATTTGGGATGAGAGCCACGCGCCTGTAGGTCAACTAATATTGAACTAGTGGTAGAGGGAACTGAGACAAAAAATAAGCATTGATTTAAGGAAATAGCGTTATACTGGTACAAAACAGTGTTAGACGGTTACGATACATCGCAATCGGCAAACATCGGCTGATTCCGGTAACCTGCTGAGATGTTCGTAGCAGTGAAGGCATTGCGATATGAATATTCGGTAGCAATACATTAAATTGGTCCTTTCAGCAAACATACACAAAATAGGACGAGACCTTTGTAGTATGCTTTCTATGATAACGAGACATGTGTTAGTATCTACCTATGGTACGCAAACAAACACAAGATGACATACCTGCACCGGAAGAAAGATTACCATCAATGCTTATATATCTACTGACAGCAGTAAACATTGAGTCAGGTCAAACGATATGTTACATCGATAACTCCGGGACGTTGATTATAAGTATCCACGTTATTTAACAGATTTCTTGGAAAGACGCAGCCCGGTCTGTTTGGTGGCTGTACAGAGGTTGCAGCTGGTGAAGGTTTACCGATCGATACCTTGTTACTTCACCATATTAGCACTTGCCTTCGATTTTTGAAGTTATCATTTCTACACCAGTCTGTCTTAATAGTCTTCATGTTGTATTAAGTTTGTTCTTTTATCTTGTGTTCAATTTTATTTAATCTATCTTGGGGTTTTTTCTGCCGGTTTCGGTTTCCATATTGTTAACATGTAAATATGGCAAGGTATCTATAATCTCAGATTGATATTGCTTCAGCATTATGCTGTGCCTATTCTATCCTGCAGAAAGAGTTTAATAAATCAACTATTGACATTAATCTTAAAATGACGATCATATTTTTATCTCACCAGGATATGTGTGTTTCAATATAAAATTTGAAATTTTGAGAAACTTCACAAAAAACTCAAGTAAATTATATTTTTAGTTTGTTTGTATTACTAATAATAATGATAACATGTTTTTTCAGGACGTATGTCGTTTTATCAACTCTGAATAAATATTGTTTTCCTTGTATCTCTATTACCATACGTGTTTCTATGCGCTTTTACCTTGTGTCACCTGTACTGGACGCATGCCAACGTACATGTTCGGTTATGTTAATGTCCCGTAGGGAAGTCGGGTAGTCTGGTTTCAGAGCGTTTGGCTGGCTAGCTATAGGTGAATTGATCATCCGGAGAAACAACGGTTCGTATTTCACAGCAAATAGCAGAACATTACGCAACAGTTCAATCACATACAATAGAAATGTGTTCTAATGGTGCTATACATAATGTGTTTGATCTGGTTAACGAGAATGAGTTTTCGTCTTTCTGTATCAGTCTGAAAAAACCCACGCTTATCGATTTAATTGAGTATGATTATTTCATAAATCTGCATTTGTGCATGAGCAGTACCTAAATGTGGAACGTTATTGTTTCTAAGCGATATTATGAAAAATATTATTAAGAGGTAGTATTACCTTCCTTGTTTAAAAGTCATAACAAGTCTAAGAACTATTCTAAAAATTATTGTGTAATCTCCATTTTACCAAAACATGTTTGAAGTCCTTTAGAATTTCTCTCGAACAGACATGAATCATTTAATGTTTCATCCGTCTTTATATGGCCCTACCTATTTTGAGGACGTCGAACCTGGACAGATAAATATAGGAGCGGACTAGGTAAAGTTCTATGGAAGGACTATCTTAATGATTGTTATTATGTAGTACATTGTTAATCGTTATTTGTCTGTTACATGATCATACATGTACCCATGTCAGTCTGTTTGGTTGTAGGTACCTGTCATTAACCTTATATACTCATGTCAGTCTGTTTGGTTGTTGATACCTGTCATTAACCTTATATACTCACGACAGTCTGTTTTGTTGTAGGTACCTGTCATTACCCTTATATACTCACGTCAGTCTGTTTGGTTGTTGATACCTGTCATTAACCTTATAGACTCACGTCAGTCTGTTTTGTTGTAGGTACCTATCATTAACCTTATATGCTCACGTCAGTCTGTTTTGTTGTAGGTACCTGTCATTAATCTTATATGCTCACGTCAGTCTGTTTGGTTGTTGATACCTGTCATTAACCTTATATACTCACGTCAGTCTGTTTTGTTGTAGGTACCTGTCATTAACCTTATATGCTCACGTCAGTCTGTTTGGTTGTAGGTACCTGCCATTAACCTTATATACTCACGTCAGTCTGTTTGGTTGTAGGTACCTGTCATTAACCTTATATACTCACGTCAGTCTGTTTGGTTGTAGGTACCTGTCATTAACCCTATATATACTCACGTCAGTCTGTTTGGTTGTCGGTACCTGTCATTAATCTTCAGCAGTATTCACCAACTGGTACCATCCTCCTGCTTTCCCACCAGTTCAACTAAATGTTGATACATACATGGGTGTACAATATAATTTTCCACGAAGTGTATTTTTCTTCCGGTTGTAATTATAGTACACACGTCAATGTCGGAATATAAATATAGCCTTGTGATAGTAGTTACTATGGACGCTTTGTGTTTTGTAAGGCAGATACGCAACAGCTGACTTGTGATTAGCTCGATGTAAAACATACAAATGCAGGACAATATTTTAAAGGTGTATGATTGACTAAGTCGTTAAATGCACAAGGTTTATAAAATGTGCATAAAAGATATATTGTGTATCAGCTAAGTATATATTTTATCAAGGTCGTGTGCCATTGTGACTAGTACGGTACACATTCGGTCAGATCGAACAAAATTAACATTGTCAATCCTGTTCGAATTACACGAAAGTATAGCCGCTTTAAAAAGGCATTTCAAACAGTCCGGGTTGACCTCGGAAAAAGTCACGATAGTCAAGTCGTTGATACGGGACAACTACGGCCTATGGAGAATAAAGTATGTTATATAAATGGTGTGCTGAGGTTTAGCACACCCCTTTGTTCCTGCGAAACCAGTCTTAAGCAGCTTTTTATGGAATAAATTATTGTACAGCAGGTATATTCAAATCAGATAGTAATCTGTGCAGATACGTTTCCTAGAGTTGGTGGACTACAGGTTTGTAGCTTTCTTTCAACAACTGTTTCGTATATTGCTCTTCTCCGGAACTATTACCAGCAATAACAATTATTTAGTTACAATCGTGTCATTTCTGACTAAGAAAAGGGCGCCGTTCTACCTACACACAACTGTGTTCTGATATTCTAAAACAGTGGTGAACCATTCGGTACATGATCGTGAAAACCTTCATACAGGAATGGCAGGTACAGTAAAGGGATGAGCTCTGCTGAGATAACGTCTGCATAGGACTGGCAGATGTACGCTATAATGAAGCGTTTTACATGATAACTTGTATACGGTTCTGTCAGCTGCTGGGATTAGGTCTAGTGTGATATATAACTAATGTTGATTGTATATAGTAAATATCATAGCAGTTTGTATTAATAAGTGGTAACTTTGACTGTTAGTATGGCGTTATTAGTATCTAATGCAACCTTTGCTATGCTTTTTTTTTATATTATCTAGTAACTTTAATATTGATTTAACAGAGTTGCATTTAAAAATAACAAAGGAGGAATGCCAATTTGGGCCTTCTTAGTGGCCAATACCGATATGTCTAAAAAAGATAACAGCTTTGTGGCTTTTGTACCAATAAGCATAGTAATTACATGAATTAAAATGTTAAAAAAGTGTGAAGAAAATATTCCCCACTCTTTGAAAACCCAATTATTGAGATTTGGTTAAAATACTCTTCAAATACCATTTGGTAAGATTATTGTATGGTTCTGACTCCACAAAACTGTTATCTTTTATTTAGACATGCATCCGACTTTCAGAAATATTAGACTAAAATAAAAACAAATGTGCATAAATACTTACTTTTTGATATATCAATGTACTGTGTAAGCTATAGACACGTAGTTGAGCTTCAAGAGTTTAATAAGATAGTTGCAGTAAGAATTTCGGGAATTATAAATCGAGATTGAAGTAGTTAGAACGAGATATCGAGTTTCAGAGGTTAGTCTAGTAGTTTAAGCAGTATTTGTAACAAATTACTTCGTAGTTTTAACCATAGAGATATTTTTAGCAGAGAGATAAGTCAAGGAATAAATACGCCGTGTAAAGATTTTTATATTTCAAAAACCAAAATAACCAACTTGTATTCAAATAAATAAATATAATATAGATATATTCAAATATAAATGAATTAATTTGCTGTTCAATTCATAGGGGCGTGGCCTTATCCCTAACCCAATCGTCCCTATATCAAACGCGGACCATGGGGTTTGGGATAAGGGCCACGCCCCTGTGGCTCAACTAACCTTGGACTTGTGGTAGAGGAAATGATTAAAGAAAATAGCGGTATACTGGTACAAAACAGTGTTAGACAGCTACGACACACCACAATCGGCAAACATCGGCTGATTCCGGTAACCTGCCGAGATGTTCGTAGCAGTGAAGGCATTGCGATATGAATATTCGGTAGCAATAAATTAAATTGGTCCTTTCAGCAAACATACAAAAAAAGGGACGAGACCTTTGTAGTATGTTTTCTATGATAACGAGACATGTGTTAGTATCTACCTATGGTACGCAAACAAACACAAGATTATACCTGCACCGGAAGTGAGGTTACCATCAATGCTTATATATCTACTGACAGCAGTAAACATTGAGTCAGTTACATCGATAACTCCGTGACACTAATTTTATTTATCCACGTTATTTAACAGATTTCTTGGAAAGACGCAGCCCTGTCTGTTTGGTGGCAGTACAGATGTTGCGACTGGGCAAGGTTTACCGATCGATACACTGTTACGTCACCATATTAGTATTTGCCTTCGATTTTGAAGTTATCATTTCTACACCAGACTTTCTCAATAGCCTTCATGTTGTCTTCGTTTCTTTTTTTATCTTAAGTACATTTTTATTGTAATGTGACGATCATTTTTGATCTCACTAAGGGATGTGTGTGTCAATATAAAATTTGAAATTTTGAGAATCTTTACAAAATCCCCCAAGTTAATAATATTTTTAGTTTGCTTGTTTTTCCAACAATAATAATGATAATATGTTTTTTTCAGGGACGTATGAGGTTTTATTAACTCTGTATAAATATCGTTTCCTTGTATCTCTATTACATTACGTGTTTTTATGTTCTTTTACCCTGTCTTACCTGTACTGGACGCATGTCAACGTACATATGCGGTCATGTTAATGTCCCGTAGGGAAGTCGGGTTAACGAGAATGAGTTTTCGTCTTTCTGTATCAGTCTGATAAAACCAAGCGTATCGATAGAATTGAGTACGATTATTTCCTCAATCTGCATTTGTGCATTAACAGTAGATAATGTGGAACTTTATTTTTTCTAAGGGACAGTCTGGTATAAAATATTAAGAGTTGTTATTACCGTCCTAGTTTAAATTTCATAACAGGCCTGAGAACTATTCTTATTATTATTGTATTATCTCCTTTTTACCAAAAACGTTTGAGATCAATTAGATTTTTTCTCGAACAGACACGAATCATTTAATGTTTCTGCCGTCTTTATATGGCCCTAACTATTTTGAGGACGTCGAATCTGGACAGATAAATATGGGAGCGGACTAGGTTAAGTTCTATGGCAGGACTATCTTAATGATTGTTATTATGTAGTACATTGTTAATCGTTATTTGTCTGTTACATGATCATACATGTACTCATGTCAGTCTGTTTGGTTGTAGGTACCTGTCATTAACCTTATATACTCACGACAGTCTGTTTGGTTGTAGGTACCTGTCATCAACCTTATATACTCACGTCAGTCTGTTTGGTTGTAGATACCTGTCATTAACCTTATATTCTCACGTCAGTCTGTTTGGTTGTAGGTCCCTGCCATTAACCTTATATACTCACGTCAGTCTGTTTTGTTGTAGGTACCTGTCATTAACCTTATATCCTCACGTCAGTCTGTTTGGTTGTAGATACCTTTCATTAACCTTATATACTCACGTCAGTCTGTTTTGTTGTAGGTACCTGTCATTAACCTTATATACTCACGTCAGTCTGTTTGGGTGTAGGTACCTGTCATAAACCTTATATACTCACGTCAGTCTGTTTGGTTGGAGATACCTGTCATTAACCTTATATACTCACGTCAGTCTGTTTGGTTGTAGGTACCTGCCATTAACCTTCAGCAATATTCACCAACTGGTACCATCCTCCTGCTTTCCCACCAGTTCAGCTTAATGTTGATACATGGGTGTACAATATAATTTTCCACGAAGTGTTTTTTCTTCCGGTTGTAATTATAGTACACACGTCAATGTCGTAATATAAATATAGCCTTGTGATAGTAGTCACTATTGACCCTTGTTGTTATATAAGGTAGGTACGCTCCAGTTGACTTGGCTCGATGATTAAGCATGCATATATACGGGAGCATTTAAATATGCACAAGGTTTATGAAATGTGTATAAAAGATATATTGTTCGTCAGCTCAGTATATATTTTATCAAGGTCATATGCTATTATGATTTAGTACGGTAAACCGTCGGTCAGTTCGAACGAATCAAATAAATACTGTCAATCCTGTTCAAATTACACGAAATAATAGCCGTCAAAATGAAAATGTATTTCGAACTATCCTAGTCGACATCGCCAAAAATCACGATATTCAAGTCGTTAAAACGGGACAAAGACGGCCGGAGGAAAACATAGTACAGTATGTTATATAAATTGTGTTCTGATGTTCATCACATCTCTTTGGTCCTGCGAAATCAGCATTAAGCGGTTTTTATGGAATAAACTATTCAAATCAGATAATAATCTGTGCAGATACGTTTCCTAGAGTTGGTGGACTTCAGGTTTGTAGCTTTCTTTCAACAATTGTTTCGTATATTGCTCTTTCCAGCAATAAAAAAGACTTAATTACAATCGTGTTATTTCTGACTAAGAAAAAAATATCGTTCTACCTGAAGAGCTGGCTTGTCGACTGAAGTACCAGGGCCAAATCATGCTACCTTTATATCAATAACGAAATTAAGGGAATTTACTGTCAATACGACGATTTGTTTTCTAGTTTTTTTAAAGCATGTTAACAGAGTCTTAGTTCGGTGCTGAACTATATACCTCCCTGATGTTGACAGGAGACACCAGGATGTGTCACATCTTGAGCAGGTGCAGTACAGAAGAGTTTTCCCAGTTGACATTAGGACCACGTTTCCAACAATGATCTTTCAGTAACCATCGCGATGAAAGATGTGTTTACTGTCTCATATCATTGATGATATAGTAACTCATTTCCTGGGTTTGACAGTAGACTTCATAAAGAGTACCTCGTGTGATAGTATAGATTACCACCCTTCAGATCACCTTGTCCCACCTCCTGTGTCGGTTTATGATGTCTTAATTATGCTTCAGTGGTTCTGTTCCTGTTGTTGTCTTTTCGTACCGGATTTGGGCTCACACTTAATCCACGTGTCGATGTTGAGGACTATATATGTATCTTGTTTTCTATATCAATTGACTCCATCGAAAGTAAACACTCTCATCACATGACCTAGTATACGCTAAGATGATGCACAACACCAGAACCACAACAGCAATTAGACGTCTCGATAGACTTTTGTCAATAACAATAAAGCATTGAATAAGAATAACAAACAAGCACCACTATTAAAATGATTTATAATGTAGAGACGTTAGACAAACCGTAGACAATTAACCAAATTACATTTAAAATGCCATAAAGAGTTATTGATTTACAAAATTGTTGTGTTTTGTCTGTAAGTGATTTTGATATTATCTAAAAATATGACGTCAGTTATTCAGGAAATAAATGCCCTAACTACCCCATGTGACTATGTCCTTGATCTCAGGAGAACATTCAGCTGCCACTGAAATAGAAATAAGATCATTTAACCACCATCATCAATAGCATTACCTTCAAACATCTTTACATTAAAAACCTGGATTTGCATGATAAATCATGACATTTTTAAATGTGTTAGATGTCCAGCTAGTGAATACCCGGCTATCTGGAAGAATACAACGTACCAGAGACGTATAATACATGTCTCTGACCGTACTAACTGATAGGGCAGTTATTTTCTCCTTTGAATACTTCCCGCCTCCAATAATGATTCCGTAACGTACTTTTTGCGCCATCTTTTGACCATTTGACAACTTTTCGCTTCGTAGCTGACACGGTACAACACTTTTCTCTCACTTACTTCATACGGACAGTCATTTTGTTTACAAAGAAATGGTGTGCTATGCGCATGCGCTAGTAGAGGTAAATCCCTGAACAAAACGTTGGTCAGACAGGTAGAAATATCGATGATTATCTTAGATTTAATCATTTTTATGAATCTATTTCAGCCAAATCCGATCTTTATTTTCCATAAGGAGTCTCTCTTGATATGTTTATGTAGTATTCGAAAAAAAAAAGACAAAAAAAAGTTACTTCACTGTGACACCCCTTTAATGAGTTTGTTAACTTAACAACTTCAGCAAAAACAAAAAAATAATCTAACGAAAATGGGTTTTCATTCATACTGAATCTATGGCAAAATTGTCAAATTTTAAACAAACAAATAAAACATTTTGGTCTACTGTCCACAGGAAAGCGGATTTAAATATTACATATAACCTAAAACACTTATAAATACACTTACCATCCTAAAGTGTGATGTGTGACAACAAACCCCCTACAATGCACACCGGAAGGTCTCCTTTGGACAGTCGATGTAATCACTTATTCCAGATAACATCATTTCCATGTAAGGATCTAGTCTGTTTCGGATTTCACAAACAGTTGAATAAACAGTTCCTTCACAGACAGACGAAGTCAAGTGCACCATCTCGTTAAAGGACGTGAACACCCAACTGAAAACAAAAGGAAATAGAACTTCAAGTGTCTTAAGCGTTTTACAAAATGCTTTTTAAAAAGGGTTTTCGTAGTAAGTTCGATATTTTTTAATTAATGTACATTTTGAAAACTTAAAATACATCGTGTTTATATCGATTCGTGACATATGGACATGATGCCACAGAAACTTAGAGTGATTGGAAGACACTCGTACTCGACACTCGTACTTAAGTACAATCAACGGTGTTTTATATGTATGCCCCCGGGGGTGGGGCATACAGTGTTTCCCATGTCCGTCCCGTCCCGTCCTGTCGCGTCCCATCCTATCCAAAAGCGGGGGGCATTTATGTCCTACAGACATTTGCTAATTTTATTTATTCTACGACCACATGCCAACATCTTACAGAATATTCTTATATAAGGATTAGACTTCTGGAAGCAGAGAACACCGGCTATGCATTTATTTTTGTGTCAGTTCTTGGTGACTGAAAAAAGTGTGCATATATGTGTCCATCGAGTAGCAAACCTTGTCGACAGAGGTTAAGGGTGTTTATATGTGGTTACCTTTTGTTACGCTGGTCGACAGAGGTTAAGGGCGTTTATATGTGGTTACCTTTTGTTTCCCTGGTCGACAGAGGTTAAGGGTGTTTATATGTGGTTACCTTTTGTTACCCTGGTCGACAGATATAAGGCATATATATATATTTGTTGATTAAGTGGCAACCCTGTCGACGGAGCAAAAAGGTGCAAACCATGTTAAAATAGCTTAAGAGAAAAACTACTGTATATGTTCATAAATTAAGTAGCAAACATTGATTAAAGTGTATTTGTTGATCTAGTGGCAGTCTTTATCGACATAGATAACATGTATATATTTTTTCCGAGTTGCATTACCTTATGTGTAATACCTACAGTTTAAGCTTTTTTTTGCAGTTGATTAAGCTCCAACTGCTAAGCAGTGTTATATTAACCTAAACATCAACCTTCAATAAAGCACTTGGGCAATATCACCCGAATCAGAAGGAATAAAAGATGACGTCACAAGTGGATTTCCTTTGATTTGACGCGTCTTCTTATTCACACAGTGTGTAAATGAACGGGATTTTGGTTATTTAAAAATATCAGAGTTGTTCCCTTTTAATTTGACTTTATGGAAGTCACTGAAGCCCGTTTCTTAATCAATCGTTTGTAAATAATAACTGGTTTGTGAGTTCTATCATGAAACGAAATTTCTCTGGGCGATCAATATACACGTTTGAGGTTCAGCATGTAATAATGAATACATACCGACAAAGGGTCGACTTTTGCTGTTGTACAGGAATTCCCATCTCATGATATGCCATTCCGATGCCAATCAGTTTCTGGATTTCCCCAAAAATTGTGACTTGCAATTTTCGATTGTTCATGCACTGCAGTATTGACAGCACTTCTATAAACACAAAAAAACCTAATTGAGAATAAACAGTGATTTAAAACACAATACAACCAATTTAATCAAATAATTACCTGAACTACTGGCCTCCTGACAAGAAAAATAGTTTGCAAATATGAAAATTTCCATAAAAACCGATTTAGAATCTCTCAATGTTAAACTCTGAGCTAGGTTTGTATTTAGATGCCTAGTTGTTGGTGACTCCAGCAACCTAACTCGAACACTATGCCACATGTCGTCAGTTCTGATAAAAGTAACACACAATAATTAAACAGGTAATAGTCAAATACCTTCGAAATATGTAAACATTATATGAATTTATTTTTACAATTTTATTTTAGTGATAAAACCCTTAATATTCAATTTTAACAACATTTTCTAATAATATGATCGCTTGATTGGAGAGGTAACCAAATTTCAGAACATCCATACGGTATGATAGTAAAAAATGAAAGTTAAAACCAGTTATAACGTAATACCTGGTGTCCAGGGCTGGTGACAGAGACTGTCCTGTAGTACACGGCCAATATTAGCCATAAGCGTAGATAATTCACCACAAGGGTATGATTCAGCCATCATGTCATAGCATCCAAGGTACTCTTCAGTAGAACTTCAAAACATTATGTTACGCACATTTGACAGACATTTATTTATTAATGATATGCATTTATAACAGTTAGTTACTGTAAATTAAAGCGTACAATCCAACAGTTATTCAATCTAACTATTGCGCAAATATTTAATTTTACAACGTAAAACATATGGTAAAAATATGACTTCTGCTTCAGCAATATATGACGCAAATATAACCGTTTCATCTATTAATAGCATGGGAACAATGTTAGAGTAACAAAGGCCATTCAGCCTTTAGAGCTGAAGCAGGCATCATCGACCGTCACGTTCTGGTCTCACGATCGAGATATATTTCATTCAGTTTTTAAAGGGAGTGAGCGTCAACATCGCCACACAGCACGGTCTGTTTCAGTTCAGTACCCTCAATCAGATTGTATAAGAGAAAGTGAAAGATAAATTACAGGCTAGTACCTTCGTATAAATGCAGGAAGGATAGATCCCATTAATGAGTCGAATAACATAACGTAAACAAAACACAATCTCCATTAAAATCTAACTTCAAGACAAATGTTCGTGTCCGTGTGTTTTGAGTAGAAGAAGATTACGCAATTCTCCATGTTGATAAAATACCCATATCATGACCATGACCTGCCGCTGAAGCAGGCCGGCAGGCGTTATTATGACCACACTTTTCAGCACCTGCAAACAATCGAAGCGGATTCGGCATGGAACAGTATACAGATGGAACTGTGACACTAGACAATATCTCGCAAGGCAAACACAGATATGTTCCTATGCAACCGCTCAGATTGGCTTTAACGGTAGCAGCAGTTGTGTTGGGAGTTATCGCGGTGTAAACAATTTAGAAAGCAACAAAGTTATTTAGATATCAGATCATAAACTGGAAATGTCCGCAGCCTGAAAGGAAGCTACTCATATTCACTGCCAATTCCATTTTCTACGTGATAGTTTGAGTAAAACAAGTTTACTATTTTCGTTCTGTATAGTAAGGGGCTGAATAAGCCCTCTCGTAACGCACTGGAAGCACCAGGTTTTTAAATTTGTAAAACAAATGCATAAAAGTTTCTTTGGTGCATTTCATTTAATGCATATTTTCTCTGGGTTTTACTTGATTTGAACCTGTTGATATATGATGTACAGCAGCTCCTGAAAAATCCTTTACGAAGCTTAGAAATATTTAGATTTTAGCTCAAATGAAACCAAAAATATTCTTTAATGAAATCTATGATTTCCGGTAACGTGATAAATAATGGCTATTTACGTTTTAACATTGCATTGAGTAAACAACGGTTTCTTTTGATTTGACTTGATTTTGATTGGTGACATCCTCAATACCCAGGGGCTACGCTCACTTACGCTCTCTGCACCCCTGGAATATAGCATAGCAAAATCGAAGGCTCGATGTGCAGCACCGTGCGGATGGGACGAGAAGACTAGTTTAGTCCTTGATATACATCAACAGAATATCGCGGTCGCGTAACGGTAAAAATTGACAGGCTTTGAAGTCGGGCGTCGCTCCTTTGTAATCTTCAAAGGACAAGTATCAGCCTAGTGATTGGTCAGGGTTTTATTTTACCTCATACCAATCAAATAGCTAGCCGCGTGCCTTCGATTTTGCTTTGTCATATTCCAGGGGTGTAGAGAGCGAAAGTGAGCGTAACCCCTGGATATAGAGGATTAATTGGTGATTGGTGATGATACATAATTGACATTTAATCATTATTGGTCGCGAAAATCTGGAATGTATGGTGCAATTTTACATTTGTAGCATTTTGTATTTTTTGATGATTTTATTTCTTTTTATTTCGCTAGCATATCATTTGGTAGTTTCTCTACCTTTCAACTTTTCCATTAAATCCTCTCACGGTGATTAACAAAAATCATAATGACCTTATTTAGTAGAAATGTAATGCTTTTATAAAAATAATTTCAGAACCGTTGATTCAAAATATGGTGATATTTAAACATTCGTAGAAAGTACATTTAATATGTTGCGATACCACATTTACTAAATATAAATATTGAGAAAAACGAAGTAAACAGCTTTTTGAAATATTACTAATTAGATGCAGAAAGCATTATAGAAATAAAGCGATAAATAAATAACCAAAGTACTGAGGCAGAATACCATAATCTTGTATAAGTAAAACACTTACTTGCATACTGACTGCAAATTCTCCACACCAAAATGTAAACCAGTCAAAATATCTCCACTCGGAATTGGAATTTCATTTGAAGGACACATCGTTGCAATCAGACAATGGTCTTCAATAGCTCGCTGGAAATGGCCGACATTTGACTTTTGGTTTGTGTGTCGCTGTGTTCCTTGAAACATTCCAAGCATCGCCCTCTTTGAATTCCATATACTTTCGCCAATTGATCGTTTCTGCAGTCTTGATTTTATGTTCTCGGAAAACGGCCCAAAAGTTTCTGAGATATGTTGTAAAAAAGTGATTGTGATCATAAATTAAGGAAACATACAATATCTTCAACGCGCTAAAACATGTGTATTATTTGTTAACGTATTTTATTGTAATAAATTACAAAGTACAAGAAGATTTTTTTTCATAAACTTTGACCGGTCATCAAATTAGATGTTAAAACATAATCTTAATTAATTGAAATTCAATGTTTTACTAAACATCGTGATTGTTTAACGTTAATTTTAATTATGTTCATTTCTGTTTACTCACCTGTACCCCGACAGCCAACCAAACAAAACGCAAAACACAAAACGTAGTTGTAATTCATGATGAATCAGTGACTCTTTAGACCGACCAGGGAAAATACACGTAAATGATATCTAGTGTTGGAGAGTTGAACACTTTTGATACACTACCGATCGGGTCTGTGTACGTCAGCATATATCTTCAGGAGAGTCCATCTGTCATTACATATACTGTCTCCAAAATGTCATAAGTGGTATTGCTTCAACGATTTAAACCACTTAACGTCCCATTATTGCTTTTTATTGATCAGATTGAGAAGCATTTATCCGGTTCGTATGTCGTTTACGTTTATAAGTGACGACTTGGAAAACAAAATGTAATTGGTCGATTATGGGCTTAGTATCATGGGCTTCACGCACAGTATCATTCTAAATCGTTTAGACCATTTAAGCTTTAGCACTAAAACAATTTAAAGCGTGTTATTGATATATTTATATTCAATGTAAGTAGGTTTGCAGATGTTGCAAGTTTTAAATAATGGCATGAAACAAAAGAAGATGTTTATTCATAAATGAAAGTTAATATTTGGTGATCTGAGACAAGATTATATTAAGCTGATTTAGAAAAAAAATACGGTCATCTAAACATAAATATAAGATAGGCCTTGGCGTGGTTATGTGGGAAACGAGGATGGAATAACAAAATCCTAATATATTGGGGACATTGCGGAATGCATCAGTGGAGATACTAATGACGTCAAATAACGTTAAAAGCCCATTTTACACCTCATATTTCGAGCACTTTGCTGGTCAGGGAAATGTCAATCTCCATCAGATGTCTAGGAATAATAAAAGGAAATTGGTCATCATCTGTCATCGGTGGGGTTTACTCACTGAGGGGATACACAGTTGTTCGCATGACTGGATAGGTTACAAGTAAATATCTCATGTGGTCTCGAAGTTCTTTCAACCTTTACAGAACTAAATGTCATATATCGTCTTACATCAGACATACATGTGTTACGTAATCCTATTACATAACTACGTGTCCTTCATGTATAACAGTCGCTTTTAAAACTTATAGTTTCAGAATTATTGAAAACAATGTGCCTTCTCTGTATTTTTGCAGATATTGTATAATTTATTACATTTCTTTAGTGATACAGCTAGGTTTGTTTCAGTCAATACAAAACAAGGTCCTGAATTACAAACTGAGTAAATAGATACAGTACCCTCCTACTTGACTGGAACTCATATATTAGACAAATCGACAAATTGAATCAATGACTGGCGCCAAACGTTTTAGCGCAATTTTACGCTGTTATATTGACGTCGACATTATTCTGCTCTCGACGTCATTTTATCCCTTATTATTGTTGATCCAAATTTCCAGGAAGCAAACTGAACATCAATGTGAGGCATTGATAAACAATATTTCGAAAATAAATACAGTATGCATACCAGGAACATTTGTATGCATGCAATGGCAATAACAATACAAGACATGTGTAAATTTGTCGTCTCAGATCACACTCGTTTACTACACGAATAGATATTCCGTCTTTGCATATTGCACTTATCTATTCTCTGGTGACAGGTATTGATTGTTACGTCATTGGTTTGTGTGAGAACATTACGTCGTTTTCTCAAAAATTGATGACGTTACTCTCACAAGCAAATGACGTAACAATCAATACCTGCTCACAAGAGCAGATAACTCTGCGATACGTAAAGATGGAATAGTACACTTGGGCTAAAGTGACATATTCTTTATCACAATCTTATAAATTTGTCAAAATGAACGCATATGTGTACAATTGCTCATTAATTATTTCTTTGATAAAATAAGATAACGAATTTAAATAAAATCAATGAAAGATATTTTATCCTTTCGAGTCGCGGATCTGATGCCGACTTCATAGTGCTATCTCACTGAAATTTCATGCCGAAGGCACCAAGCACAGCATTCCGCCCGGTCTCATTATACGGACAACGGGTGACCCAGTTGTTGTCATTCCCCTAAATGCTGAACGTTAAGCAGGGAATAACATCTACCATTTTTAAAGACTTTGGTAAATTTACTATTTGTAGTATTGGTTTATAACTCAAAATCGGTCAAATATTTTCACAAGAACAATTAAGGATCGAGTAGCCCTATTTACGCAAAAAAACAATATTGTTTTATAGTTATTTAATTCAAAAGATTTTAATCCTGATATTGATTTATTGGAGGATTTGCAATAAAGCTGTTACTAGAAGTCTTGACGACTTTCCAGATACCGGGTACTAATGCTTTTAATGTGGTTTCGTAAAATATCAAGTTATTTGGGACAATACATAGAGAATGATTTATCAGAAATACGCCTTACTTGTTGATCTTATCTCTGAAGTAAATAGGATATGACTATTGTGACCACATTGTCAGCTTGGTTAAATAAAACATCATCGAAACATTGCAATAATATTTCGATAATATTCATTATAGAGAGTGTCGAATATAGCATTTAACGCAAAACATGGTAATAGCAGGATTTTGTAAAACATTCCAGAGGCTACTCACTAGAAAAAACCGATAAATGATCTTTTTCTTGAACGTAACTATGTGTTACATATTACTGTTTACATTATAGATAAGCAAGTGTATGTATCTGTCCACTGACCCAGATTTAAGTTCAATTGAACACTTATAGACGCGGACGATTACTGAGCGTTTCTGTGAACTGTTTCAAAGTAACATTAGTACAATGGTCAACATTCGGTCACTCCTGTTGCTTTTGGCCATCTCGTTGTTATATCTAGATACTAGTAACTGTCAGACTCATTTGTACCAGGAACTGGATAACCATGATATTAGGCTGACTGCACTGGAACAGATGATGCTGAACTTGACTCAGGCATGCAACCATATGCAACAAAACTACGAAGATGTCAAACAAGAAAACGCAGTACTGAAGGCAGTGGCTATGACCCTAACAGTCCGGGTGGAGGCCTTGGAACAGAATGGTACAGGACAAGCTGCCCAAACGAACATTGGTGGCACGTCTCCATCTCAAACAGTGACAGCTACGTCATCACAAACATCACAGGCCACCTATGTGTCAACATCACCACAGACTCATGGTCCACCGACGTCGTCCACCACACCACCGAAAGGTATCACTTATTACTCTGCTAGCAATCTTAACTTTTATCAGCAAAGTATATGTCTTGATTTAACTTAATATGATATGTTATATACTTTATCAAATCTATTGATCTAAAATGTCAACACGGTATGACATAAACTTTCATTTCACGGTAGCATCCGTCATCGTTACGTATTGGACACTTTCCTACTCCTTTGTTCCCGAGGTAAGCCGTCATCTTTAAGCTGGAATTTGTTCTGGTACGATTTGCATGACATACTAGTTTAAGAATAAATTATTTCTCGAAGCCATGATTTGTAAATTTACAACTTTATAATAAACACCTTTCGTTGTGATTCAACGGACGTTAAAATACATTTAGACATAGCTTCTCATTCTTTGATATCTAGTACCAGTACAGGCTGAATCCTAAATGGACAAAATGTATACGTTAGTAGAAGATGGTTGACCGTTGGTCAATCAAGGTGTACCGTAACCTTGAAGCTAAAAATCATTCTGGGATGGTTAACAAGAAAACTAGTTTAAGGATAATTTTATACCGGAGTCATTCAAAAGGGTAGTTGTATTTTTACATACGTCTCGGAATCCTTTGGACGTGGGTTTTCACACTTAGAAAACAGATGAGTCCTTACCGCCGATCCGAATTGTTCGTTGCCAATCTGCGAATGGTAAATCGTTGCAACACCTATTTGAAGTTCGGGATGCTATCTCGGTGATTGTGTAAAACAAACGCAAACTTCTAATGAAAGTTAAATATTCTACATACAAGACCAAGTTAATCTCTAACCTCAAACGTATAACGAGGACCATTCACTATATAACCGAACTAACCTATTGGTCATATCAATCCTCGCTTCTTCTTTCTCAATATGTATTTGACCCTGAGGTCGACTCACTTCGTCAAACGATATTTAAGCTCAACAGATCATTCTGAAAGAAACTATAGGGGATTCGCCATATTTCAACTAATCCCCAACTGCTGTCTGGAGGTCATCACCTGATTGGAAATTGCGTCGACGCTGTTCTTTCTTTTAAATTTTAAAATAGCTATTAGTCATTAGGAGCCAATTCTGGCAAAACTTGAACCAGTTGCGCTTCATGGTGTCGACATGTATGGACTCTGGTATTGTCATGTTGGCGCAACTTGCCCTTTGTGACCTTTCCTCGCCGTTTCGTCGTCTGAATTTTGAAGATATACACAAGACATAGTCATAGTCGGTATGTTCAAACATGCCGTCATTACAGTTCTAGGGCGATTATATATTGAATGATGTAATCATGCTATAGAAAATATGGAACATTGTTTGGCAAAATATCCATTCTATTTTAAAGCCAGAAATGAGAAATGAGAAGTAGTAAAGATTTTTTTATTTAGCTCACATAACTCGGATGTACAGTGTTATGTGTTTTGAGCATGCTCGTCTCAAAGTATGACAATAAAATATCATTGAATATATATTGGTCCGATCACATTGAAGACATTTATCACTGTTCGATAAAGTGATAATGTTAAAAGTAATATTTAATCTTGTTCTATATTTCAGTCATACCAAGAGACTGTGCGCATGCTCAAAGGATGGGATCTAGACAAAGTGGAGTATATAGAATACAGCCTCAGGACGATAGTAAGGACAACATTGTTACAATTATTAACAACTTTTTGTATAATTTTTCAAGACGCTACTTTTTTTCTTAAAGGAACTACCTTGCCCCATTTCTACAAGATCTGTATTCTTATGAAACTAGTTATCGCGATCGGAAATTACTCTTTCTTGCCCAGTGGTGTTAGGAAGGGAATTCTCTAATTTGATATTTCAAAATTGCGGCAAAACCATCCAGTCTGTGGTTTTAACAAAATCGATAACCTCTCAGCTAGAATTTTCCTATCCTACAGAACTAGGCACGAAAACAGAATCTGCTTCTCTCAAGCTTAGGCAAGAATGTCTGATAAACTGATACTTTATGAAGATGTTACAGATGGGCAACCTTTGTATTGCAACACTGCAGATGGGTTTAGAAAAAAAATGCTTTTCAAACAATAACTGCTTCGATTATATATAGTTCGACTGAAAAATGTTTCATTCATAAACACATAAAAAAAAACCACTAGCACAGCTGTTTCAGATAGAACATTCGAAGTTCACTGTGATATGGTCGACGATGGTGGCGGTTGGACCACGATACAGAGACGTATGGACGGAACGGAAAACTTCGAAAGGAATTGGAACGACTACAAGAACGGTTTCGGAAATATATCCCGTAATTTTTGGATCGGAAATGACCTTCTTTATGGCTTGACGAGTCGGGGTCACATGACGTTTCATGTCAACCTAGACGACTGGGAAGGGGTAAGGCGGTGGGCAGAGTACCAAGACTTCCAAGTCGGCAGTGAGTTAAGCTGGTACATGCTTAGTGTAGGAAAGTACACCGGAACTGCGGGTAAGTATACTAGAAACTGCAGACTGATGCTGTCTTTGTTTTTCTTCTTTCGTTGGCTTCACGTGATAATTCAAGAGAGAAATTTTCACTTCCAATGTTGATTTCCTGGGTTTTTTCTGGAGTGTTCCAGTTTTATCTGAAATTTTTGACAAAAGTTTCTTCATCTTTTTTTATATCCAGGTGATTCCTTTCATTACCCAGCCTCGTCGCTCCTCCGTCATGATGGGATGAAATTCAGTACCCCTGACCACGACAATGATACGAGTTTTCAACAGTGTGGACGTATGCTCAAGTCCGGATGGTGGTTCAACAGCTGTTACAGGTAAAATGATGGTTTTTGATTGGGTCGTCTACTCCAACCCAGTTTCTAAATGTGTCGTCGTCATAGTTGCTTCATCTAGAAGGATGTCGTCTGCCCATGTACTGTTGGACTGGTTCCTGGTTTATCCATCAATAATAATGTCTGCTCTCGACGTATTGGTGGCGTCGCGGTTGCTAAAATTAACGGTTTGATGTCTTCTAAAATCAGTTTGTCGTCTGTTCTAATCAAGTTGGCGTGTTCAGTTGCTTCATGTCGACTATCGTCTGCGTTGGTTCTTTACCTACTATGTAGAAGAGGTAGATTCTGACACTAAGCCAATCTGTATTACCGGTAAACAGGCTTCAAACTGTGTTTCAGTTCCAACTTGAATGGGCCTTACTTGACTCAGCCAAGTGGCAAACACACATACGGAGAATCTTGGGGTCAGCCATCAATGGACGGAACAGGGATTGAGTGGTATCCATGGAAGAAACACCAGTATTCGTTTAAATATTCCGAAATGAAAATTAGACCGACCAATTTCGTCTGATACGATAGTTGCTCTGTGCTTACACCATTACACATCCATTCCTAGGTTCATCTGAAATTTTCTGAAATTAATGTTTTATTTGTGAACTTCGGCACAATAAAATCGATGTGCATTTAAAACGTCAAAATGATTTTTCGCATCTTTTCTTTCGCGACTCGTAGTTTAATTAGGTAGACCGAACTTTGAAGCGCCCTTGTGACTCCTAAAACATACTCCAAAGCAACACATCAATGGCCATGTCTATAAGCATCTTTGACGTTGTAATCATTAATCATATGCCCGACTTTATGTGTTTAGCTGTTAATTCATACTTTGGAACGTCATCATTTTAGCCTAATCACCTAGTTAAACAGAAACATACGTTTGCATTCATTCATATGGGTATTCCTTGCGTTTTATTCTATAAGTAATTTCCATACTGTACCTCTTTTGGGAGGAAGTAATTACCGCATGGGTAAGATAATTTTGATGTATATCATACACATGACGGCTTTTTCACACCATGAAGTCTTTGAAGCCTATTAAAAAACAACCCATTAACTTTTTAATAATTGTATTCTTGTTTTATTGTCATGGAAATATGAAAAAGGCATTATTCTGCCATCAGATAATTCTTCTTCCAAGTAAAAACATAGAGCTATATATAATTCAACATGTGTTTGACAAAATGTTTCGTTGAAAGTTACAGAACAGTGTCTATGCTAAGGTTACTACGATAGAATCTATGCTAAAGTTTCACATTGCCATGTCCATAATAGGAGGTAAGGATAGAAAACAAAACTAAGGAGGAGTATGGTCAGCAAACCGTTCATCAACATCACGTGGTAAGAAATAATCTGATATCACACATACAAACTAATATCGGTGATCTTTACTTATTGACAAAACCATTAGAGGAAACAAGTTTTGGCCACATGCTATAGATATTCAATATGAATAACAAATTCTTGTTTCAAAATTATGCCAATATACATCCTTTCTGATCGTTCTGTCCATATCCATTTTTTCCATTCATTTAATGACTTTGTCACGATATCATGTGTTTGTGGTGTTATAATTGTCAGTTTAACTCTGATCAATTACATATTTATGAACGAATATAATGCAGCATACCTGTCTGGGTCAAAAATTATCCAACAGGATTTGAGAATGTGAAAACCTGAATAGCAGCAAAATATTCTGCTTGCTAAAAAAAAGATTTTTCACAATCCTTCAAATGAATAATAATAAGTGATAGTGAAATGAGAAAATAAGGTATACTTACTCATACAAATGTAACAGTTTAAATACGGTATACTAACTCAAACAAATGTAACAGTTTAAATACCGTATACTAACTCATACAAATGTAACAGTTTCTGTTACAAGTATGCTGTTCAAAGTGTTACTGACAAACAACATAAGAATATAAGTCCTAATGTAATCCTTACAGGAGACAAATTAAATAAATATATTGTGCTAAAAATAAAATAGATATCTATCGGTAAAATCCTGCAAAATATTCACGGATTTTGATGAATGAATGAGATGGTTAGAAGAACCCCGTAACACGATGTTGACTTTATCTCAGGACCAACAGTCCGTACAGTTGATACTATGTATAGCTATACATCTGTTTGGGTGAAATGCCTGTTAAACAATCACTGTAATACTTTTCTGTCTATGGAAGTGTAGACAATTAAACTTGTATGTAATCTATACAAAACTCTTGTTTACACTATTTAACCACAGACTTAAAATTTAAACAAATCAAAGACTTAACCCTTTCACCACTGTAGACTATAATGGACTCATCCAGATCAATGTATGGTAGAGTCTACACAAGTTACATAGGGGTGAAAGGGTTAAAATCAAAACAAATAAAATTACATTAAATGAACAAAAATTGTAGTTTTAAAATGATCTTTGTGTGACTTTGGTTTGATCTTAATGTTATTCGTAAGTGGAATTTGTAAAATAAATTGTAACTCAGACTGTATTCAACAAAATATTGTCAAACAAATTAAACCACCCTGAACATATACATTGCACTTTTGTTACATTGTAATGTTTACCATTGTAATGACAAAGAATGGTGATGACAATCTTTTATAACATTGTAATGATATTTTATAGTTTTAAACCCTGTGATGTATGACATTGTTTTAACAAAGATTGTAATGACAACCTTTTATAACATTGTAGCATTGTAATAAGCTTTTGTAAGTAAAATCATTGTAGTGTACAAGATGGTAAGTTATAACATTGTAATGACAAAATTCTACCCATACACAACTGTCATGGGAACACTCGAAGACATTCATACTTCAACTCCATGGAATGTTAAAAGAAAGTGAAATGATAAAGACATAAGGACGCTATACACAAAGGGCATTCTCAAATTTGTTATTTCAAAATACTTGGTATGTAAAAAAGTAAAACTCAGAAAAAAATATTTTTCATAATGGAACAAATGAAATTAAACTTACAGCAAACTGAACTTAAAATATTCTTAAATCATCTGAGAATACATTCTTTTGAAAACATTTAGTGAATGTATTTGAACCTATGCATACCAACGCATTGGAGCTCAAAGCTATCGAACACTCCAGGCCTCATAGTCAAACAGGGCAAACATATATTGACTTAAAGCTGAAGTTAATTAGGTAAAAGGCTGACAATTCCTGGCATTCCTGATTTTATAGATTAATGAAAATGGAATCCAAGTGAATGAAGATCTACAAGTGAGTTGTCCAGATCACCGGAGCCCAAGTTATTGGTATTCTACTGTCTATTTACAGCGTTACATTATTTAAATTTCTTCTCATTTGTGATTTTGGTGCAATTTCATGTGCCTTTTGATAAAATTAGCTGTGAAAAAATCTTTGAACATCCAACCTTTGAATGATGTTTCAATGCAGTCATATACCTTGACCACAACAGAGGTGGACAAAATAGTGCATCATGCTCACAGTGTGATACTAATACATTAATGCATGTCAACTATTTACCATTAAATATGAGATTGTAATCCTATCATTTAGAACAAACTGAGATTGCTTATCAACATGACGACTCACTTATACTTAGCAGACATATAATATTCACATTTGTTATTACATGTTGTATTTATCATTATTAGTATACAATATATGTAAATTGCCCTATTCAATCCCAAGGAAATAACTCTAAGGCGCTTATGATTCCAGGGATGAAAGACATACAATCAACACAATCAGAACAGTGTTAGAGCAGCCTCACTAAAACACATCTAGATCCCCTCTCTCACCAACATCTATGTGCATGTTTGTATATGCTGGTGGAGGTTGTATAGGTGCTCTGCTTGTTATGGGTCTGTATTACCAATAGCTGATTTACATCTTCTTTCCAATATATCTCCTAAAATGCTGGTGGGATGGCGGTAAACCCAGAATAGTTGTGGGTAGATCATTGATTGAGAGGACCAGCCCTTTTGCCATTCATGTGATGCACATATGACTTTGCCTCAGATATTGATCAAACTCAGCAATTTTTGACAGATTTGAGACAAATATTCTGATGTGCTTGATATGACAACATTGTTCTGTACAACTAATTTGTCAAAGATTTTAAAAAATCTACCTGAAATTAGTCTTTACCGTAAAATCTGAATTTTGAGAAATAATAATAATATCTGATCGTTTTGCTGTGTACTTATGAATGCAGTTTTTAACCTTTAACCTTTCAGTTTCCTTTTGAGCATCAGATTTTTGAGTGCACCTTATCATTGTTGTCAGGCCCTGTATGACTTTACCGTCGCTGGGCCATTAAGCGACTAACTAACCTCATCTTTAGTAGATGGAGTTCCCTTGTACGGTATGTGCCATCAGGGCATCTTCTTAAACTGAACTTAGGGCTTTTATTATAATCATCATTTCCTGGTTATGGTTATTGCAGAAATCCAATGTTTATTCATCAATAATAAAAATTAAATAAATATCATTTCATTTTTTTTCTTAAAATGAATATTGTGTTATAGTAATTTATACCATTAAAATAAATTACATTGAAGAACAATGATTATCAGCATCTACAACTATACATACTTAACCACTATTTTAAATCTCATAAAAACCACTGACTCTAAGTCTATCACATTTTTGACATTCTTCATAATGACATTTTGTATATCAAATGTTTTATTTGAAGTGAAATGTAAAATGTATGAAAATGAAAATTATATCATGTTGATTCCTATAAATACTTTTTTTCAATAAATATAATAATATATATATTTTAGGACGGATTTGTACAAAAACTTGTTCAAATTGTTCATGGTACATTAAATAAATTTGAAACAACTATAATATTATGCCACTAAATGGTAAATGAGAGTTTTAGCTGAACAATAATACCTATATTTAAAATGAAAGGTGAACCTAACTCCATAAACTCATCCTATTCTATGTTGGTGTTTGTTATCTCAAATGCAATTGGCACAAATATTTTCAAGGTACATGTCACAATCTGGAATATTTACGATGTATAGATCAATTGTATACACATCACAGAATAATCTTGTACAGGTACACAACAATAAAATGTCACAAGATATAACATTTTCCAGTAATTGATCAATAATCCTTTTCAGTAATACATGTACACTGTATATCATTTCTTTAACAAATCAAACTAAACCACACATAAATATATTTAAAACTATTTTTCTGATGTTAAACGAATTGACAAAGGACACCAATTGTAAATACAGAAAAGATAAAAGAGTATGACATTCATTTCTCTGACCGAACATAGTTTTGTTGAAGTTGGTAGGGGTGGGTGGTTGGGTGGGGTGGGGCGGGGCAGGGGTGTGTGTAAGTAGTCAGGTCGGGGTTGGTGTTATAGGGTCAGTAAGCAGGCAGTGGTAGAAGGTTGGTTACCAATCAGATCAGGGGTTGTTTAATGTTGCAGGGGGCAGTCAGATCAGAGGTCAGTGGGTATGAGGTCAGTCACTAAAGTCAGGTCAGGGGTCGGTGGGTAGGGGATCAGTCAGCAGTTAGGGCTGGGGTCGGTGGGTAGGGGATCAGTCAGCAGTTAGGGCTGGGGTTGTTGGGTAGGGGATCAGTTACTATAGTCAGGTCAGGGGTCAGTGGGTATGAGCATATGCACTGGTCAGGTCAGGGGTCGGTGGGTATGAGCGTATGCACTGGTCAGGTCAGGGGTCGGTGGGTATGAGGCTATGCAGCAGTGAGGTCAGGGGGTGGTGGGTATGAGGTCAGTCACCAGTCAAGGGTCGGTGGGTATGAGGTAATTACAGGAGCAAAATAAAGAACAGTAAAACCTAGTTAAAATTTTACTCCTTAAAGACCAATATTTTTTTGTTCTGGTATAACTTGAGGTGTCAAGATTTTCTGTTCATTTGCACAATAAGGACCAATCTCAAGGACAGGTCTACTTTGTAACTAGGGGAGGTTACTCCCTTGGCGACTTGGGGAAGGCAACGGTGGGTTTCTCCAGAACCTTGGACATCACAGCTTCTATTAAAGGCATGATTATAACACTGATCGGGTAGGCTCCCGGCAGCTTCTTACTGACAGCAGGTATTTGGACAAAATATCTGTCAATAGAAATATCAAAATATCTTTAGACAATTTTGACAAATATGTTTTTGAATGATACAACTGGAGTTAAAAATATTCATTTTGTGAAAATCTATGATATTTCTAGCATGTTTTTTACTTCATCTAGACATGAGTATATCCACTACTGTATATAAGTATAAAACATGGCCGATTCAGAAACAAAAGTTTCACAGACCTGATTTTCTTTCCTGGTATTTTGAAACTAATCATACTGAAATAGATCAGGGACGTATAATGGACAGCTGTCCCTGAATAGATATAGTGTGTTGGCAATTTTCAAAGCAAATGCTTTACCCAGGAATGCTTTATAATCCTTTCTTGAGTAACTTTTGATAGGAAACATGTCCAATGACAATGAAAAAGGCCACATGCTGGGGTATGTTCACCTAGCCTTCAGACAGCTAAGTGAATGAACAACTAATGGGTGTAAGTTCCATGTTATTTGCTACAATATTCAAGCATTTGTTGAATGTAAACTGAACAAGAGAACCGTGGGGCGGAACAATAAACGCATATCATGATTATTTAGCCTACTAAGTTTCAATCATGATTATAATGTATACCAAGTTTAAAAGAGATCGGTCGAAAAATGTAGGAGGAGATTGCTGACAAACAAAAGTTTACACTGGCCGACGCCATACCATAATACTCCCGTCAAATTTGACGGGCGTATAAAAAGGATCTTGTTGAAACTCGCAAAATATTTTATTCTTTCACGAATATTAATATGTGTACAATGCTACACGAACATTTATCTAAAGTGATATTTCAATAAATATTATAAGGAGAAAGAAATGCATTTAGTATCTAGTTTTATATCACACGAAAATTTATAATAGATTTAAATTTAGTGCAAGTCAAACCGTGTAAGATAATGTTCTACTAAGGAACACTTAAAGGTCAATCTACTGAAAGCAATATTTAATATTGTAAAAGGTGAAATTAGTGCAGTGTGGAAATTTTTGCATTTTTAACGTTGAGTAAATTTGCAGAAAAATTATCCACAAACGATATGTATATCTATAGATTATATAGATTTTTTATATACAAAATATACAGATTTTTGATATACATACGAATATGTATATCTATAGATTATATAGATTTTTTATATACAAAATATATAGTTTCCAGGACCATTGTCAGAACAACAATTTTCACACTGCATCACTGAATCAATTTAAAAGAATCCCATCATGAACATTTCCACATGATAATTTCCACTTTACAGTAAAATATAGTAAGGAGAGGAGCTTTACTTGAATTCCTCCATGTAGTTACTGCGTATGAAGGCAGCTAAGCGTGGGCTGTACTGTAGGAAGGTCTGGATCACGGAGAACTGAGTGTACAGCAGCACGCCCTCCACCGGGTTGAGGACCTCGCGTCGACCAGGTCCCAGTAACTTCAGCATCTGTTGGATCACTCGGTCGACAAACTTCTCCTACAGAATATATACCCATACATCAGATTCCACGCAGCAATTAAAACATTGATCACTCGGTCGACAAACTTCTCCTACAGAATATACCCACCCATTACAGATTTCAGGCAGCAATTAAAACATTGATCACTCGGTCGACAAACTTCTCCTACAGAATATACCTACACATTACAGATTTCAGGCAGCAATTAAAACATTGATCACTCGGTCGACAAAATTCTCCTACAGAATATACCCACACATTACAGATTTCAGGCAGCAATTAAAACATTGATCATACTTTTATTCAACTTTACAGTATGGTTCATAATTTTATTCAATCCACAATCTTTTCGTATTTCATTATTGTGAAGTACTATCTGAATAACCGTGATTCAGGATCTCTAAATCTGACTTCATTGACAGGACTTTTTCACCCATCATATTAGCCAGATTATGAAAAAACAATTTGAAAAGGTTTAAAACTTCTACAGAACTATCTTTTAATTTGTATTAAATACCACAAAGATTTGTGTGCCTCGGTTCAGTAGCTGTAATCGCTAACGCGCAGTCATTACTACAGTGTGCAATCAAGCGTTAGCTTCAGACCACTCACTCTCCTAAGAATTTCGGTTCGATCCCCAGCGGTGGCGCCGTTAACATTTGAAATGTGAAAAATTTCACTGGAAAATCTTCTCCGGAAAAACTAACTGTTAATATCTACAGTTATGTAAATTGAACATCTCTTTAGGGTATCACAGCTGTGTCCAGCATGATTGATATGACCACTTCTTTGGCCACCTAAAACTGGATGCTGTAGGTTACCTACCGTCGTACGAATCTCCTCTAGCACCTTGACCATCCAGCCAATGTTGAAGAAATTCCCCTCGCTGTATCCCCAGTTGGCCTGTACAACAAGATTTCTATGTATAATTTCTTACACTTCCTTAATCATACATTTTCATATGGTTTCCTATCAACAATTACATCAAAATCAAACATTACAATGTAAAAGGTTGATATTTACATATAGATGTATTATCTTTCATAAAGACCAAATATTTAATATACATTTTCTGTATTATTTAGAAATACAATAGTATTTACTTCACAGTTAAAAGACTAACACTGCACTTGATACACTAATTGTGTTTTGTCAAGATGTTTGTGTAAAAACCTAATTTCAAAGAATTTTTCTGAAAAAAAAAGAAAATGAAGATAGAAGCAGCCAATCTGCTAACCAATCCATAATCTTTAAATAAACATGATTAAATCTTAATTAAGAATTCACAACTTGAATTTTTGTATTATTTTCATTATATTCATATCGTAAAAACACCTAGTTTTCAAAATAAAACCTTGGAAATTTATGGATAAGAAATCCCCAATGAAGCTACCAGTTGTACAGTACCCATACAAGGGGGGTAATTTGCTCACCTGTTTTGCCATCAGGAAGAGTTCGTAGACGGCGGCAAGTCCTGTTTTCGTAAACTGTACTAATTGTTTCTCGATCTGTAAAACATATTACAATACATATGTATCTGACGTCAATCGTTTGGTACACATCATATAGATTCAGTCAAATATACACTACATGTGTCTCTTCTAGATAACAGATCTTCTTACAAAACAAGAAATTTCTCCAAACAAGATGCATTTATGATGATAAAAGATTCATTAAAATACTGAAAAGGTCCCTTACAACAGGTATATATATTACCTCTGCGTCCACATCCATACTCATACCATCTCCTCCCTTAAACGAGCCCCCGACAGACATGGTGCTTCGTGTGGGTACTGAGAACTTGTTGGGGATCTCCGGCGAACACGTCAGCACCATTAACAGGTCCAGCACATATTTTCCTCTGTTCACAAAAAGTCAAAAAGCAATCAATTATTTTCCATAATAAATTCAAAATTGAGGGCTAACCAACATGTAACAAAACTAAGATTCAGTTATTATTTCATGAATGTTGATGAATTATCCTCAGTATTATGGAAAGTCATGATATATACAAGGAGTTATCTCCCATGTCATTAGACCACATGTTACGCTGTCTTTTTGTTATAAACACCCTTCAGTCTTTGATTTCTCTATACCTGTTTTCTTTACTAACACATTCTGTCTGTGCTTACAGTGATCTTAATTCAGCCATCTTTGTTTCCAGCAAAAATTGATTTACCATTGGTGACTAAATAAAATAAAGCTTAGCTGTATATATAAATAACGAAGTCTCATAGCTACATTCCCATTCCAAATGATGTAGACAAAATCCATATAGGAGTTCCTTGTGGATCAGTAACCTGTGTTTCCTGTATTATTGAACACAGCGATATGAGGTTAAGGTCACCAGCTGACCTTTGTGTGGGATTACCTTTCAGCCCTCAGAGTCTGGATGCGAGCAGGGATAATCTCCGACTCCCTGAACATCAGACTGAGCATTTCCGTCAGCAGTATCACAAGTCTACAAGAAAAAAAATTAACTGTGGTAGTTATCAAGAGTAAAAAAAGAAAAGTTCTTGTCAATGACGAGAATATAGAAATACTTCACTCGAGAGGACTTACATATTTACAGATTCTTTGTCTTACATTCTACTGTGGTTAACAACATATTCACTTTATTATCAGAAATTATCGTATATTGTGATGCTGCAACTTTGACCCATTGACCACCAGTGTTAACCTCCTGTTTCATAAACGTTCCTTAGCTAAGTTAAGGAGCTTCCTTAACTTAAGCATTTCCTAAGGGGAAATTTAAGTTAAGGAACGTTCATGAAACTGGGGCCTCAGGTCAGTATAGGTCACTGTTCACCCTACACAATACCTCTACTTAAATTTCTACTCACTCAAACTCGTCCACCCTCTGTAGCTTTCCGTGGTCGGTGTGTATGTTGATAGGAGATTTAGGTAAATACCTCTGTAGCTGTCTCACCAGAAATAGGAACATGTCAGCGTTCTGCAAAAGATAAAAAATATATATATATATATATTCATTAACTCTCTCCCATCATATCAATATGGTATTAATAATCAACATGTGATTTTTTTGTCCTATTACCACGGTAGTATCTGTCCAGAACAGCTACAAATGACAGGTATCTCATTTTTATTCTTCATATAATTCAAAAGAAAACTTTAAAATTGTTTGAGAAACTGTCAACATATTTTTTTCCAAAATGAATATGACTTAATAAAATATAAGTACCTTAAATGAGGAAATATGCAAAACAATATCATATATTATTCTTTCTTAATTCATAAAACAATACCAGACAGAGTAGAAATAATTAATGCTTACAAATACTCTGTTTACTATGTCTTACAAACAACAACAAATGTTTTAATACATTTTCTTTTGTCATCCAAAAAAATGATTTCCATGTAAATTAGCCGAACGGTTTTAAATTACCTTCCAGAACATTTTCTTGAGAGCAAAGTTGCGTTCAGTGGCTACCCTCAATTCATTCAACAAGTTAAATGTGTCCTCCATTGTATTTTCTTGGTTGAGCAATTCTCTTTTGAGCTGACTGAAGAGCATTTCCATCTTTTCTCTGTCAGATATAACATTTCCGTATTAGTCCCACAGAAACATGGCAAAATTACAGAATATACACACCCATAAAACAACATTCAAATAAATTCGTAAATTTTATTTCCCTTCTTTTTCATTACAATGTTATTGCTATAGCTCTTTGTTGATGTGGGTGTTTGTTGATATGTGTGAGGCCCAACTTCAGTATGCAATAGTGACCGTCTTTCCAAGATACGGAAGTTGAGCAAGAATGGTAAATGTAGGTAAAATGGTAAGGAAGCATTGCTCTAGAATCTGTGGTATCAAAACATTACTCACAGACAGACATAACTTTCAGTAAGATGTATGGAATAGACGCGATTTCAGTAAGATGTATGGAATAGACACAATTTCAGTAAGATGTCTGGAATAGACGCGATTTCAGTAAGATGTATGGAATAGACACGATTTCAGTAAGATGTCTGGAATAGACGCGATTTCGGTAAGATGTATGGAATAGACGCAATTTCAGTAAGATGTATGGAATAGATGCGATTTCAGTAAGATGTATGGAATAGACGTGATTTCAGTAAGATGTATGGAATAGACACGATTTCAGCAAGATGTCTGGAATAGACGCGATTTCCGTAAGATGTCTGGAATAGACGCGATTTCAGTAAGAGGTATGGAATAGACGCAATTTCAGTAAGATGTATGGAATAGATGCGATTTCAGTAAGATGTATGGAATAGATGCGATTTCAGTAAGATGTATGGAATAGACACAATTTCAGTAAGATGTCTGGAATAGACGCGATTTCAGAATGATGTATGGAATAGACACGATTTCAGTAAGATGTCTGGAATAGACGCGATTTCGGCAAGATGTATGGAATAGACGCAATTTAAGTAAGATGTATGGAATAGACGCGATTTCAGTAAGATGTCTGGAATAGACGCGATTTCAGTAAGATGTATGGAATAGACGCAATTTCAGTAAGTGGCATCCTGCCTTCCTGACATACTGTACTAGAAATGTTGGTGAAGGACGGTGACTGAACAAGGAATTAATTATGCTGTGCAGACTAATTTATCCAACTTGTTACACAACGCCAAACCATAATATATCCCCCCATAGACGAATGTATAAACCATATAGCAGTCTGGAGATCCATGGCTGAGCCTGTGTTTTGACAATAGGTATATCATTTCCTTGATCAACACGACATAATAATGATAATTAAATGATGCTGCAGTCCTTAGAAAGACAAACATTTCAGAACATCAGCTGGCATGAAAGTAAACAATTTCAACTCAAAACAGTTTGACCCAAGATTTAGAAAAATATGCAAGCAGACATGTAAGTGGTACTGAGTGCAGACATGTAAGTGATAATTTGAATTTGGGTATGGTTTAATCCAGAACAGGCAATACTTCATATGTCCCTCTGAAATCTAATGAGCTTTGTTAATTTTAATTGATTTGGTACTTGTTATTTCAGTTCTGGGATTATCAACAAGCTGTACTTCTGAAGGTAGATCTGGAGGTCTGTAGAAGTCTGGCACTAATACTGTCCTGTATATAGTACAATGTAACAGAGACCCTATTATATTTCCATAAGGTCAAGATTAATTATAAATATAAGCTTCTTATACACAACATAACAATGCCTTCACGGCACGGTCAATAAGCTGTATGTATTCTGATAAATATACCAGTCCCATTTAAACCCAATTCAGATAATGATTTATTTAGCAGTAATAAATAGTCCAATTTCTTTTCAATACAAACTTCACAATCTATATTTCTATTAAATTCTAGTGAAGCTCTGTCAAACTAAAGAGACGAGAATTCCACTGAATTTTGTATCCCGCCTGTCCAAGCATGTAGAAAACGTTTATTTAATTGTAAAAAGCAGGCGTCTTTGTGTCAGCTATGTGATATTCGTCGCAGGCAAGAGAAACTTCAGATTTTTTTTTTCATAATCTCATAAAAAGGAAAACAAAATCAATTGCAAATATCAAGTTTTCACGGGGGATTTTAACTCTTCAATCACACTATTATCATGACTTCAAGTCTATTGATGTCATTCAATGTAACCTGATTTGGTTTAAAACAATTCGTCCTGACAGTGTTTGGTTGAAAACAATTCGTCCTGATGGTGTTTGATTAGTTCTGTAAGTGTATAATTGAGAAAGTTTTCTCAGCAACTGTCTTCTTTCTATTCCAGTGTCTCAAAATGTCCATTATGATTTTATATACCAGAACCATGGAACAATCTTATACAAATGACAATATATCCTTGATTTGATATTGTATATTTCAACGAAGACATCAAGAACAATTCCTCTCTATCAGTAAATTGATTATAAACTCGTTTGATTGGCAGACCAGTCCCTTAACAAATGGATCTATGCTGCTACTAAACCCCAACTACGTACAAGGCCAGTGACTTCAAACCACTCAACCAATTACAGGTTAAATTTCTATCGGTGGTTTAATAGAACAAATTAATAATTTCATTGACATTTTAGCTTTCCGTATAAAGAGCCACCAGGAAGTCCCCAAACAAGAAACGCATAAATAATTTTCGGCTCGACTAATAATGCTTTATGGTGACGTGGGCAATGTGGTGGAATTTATAACATGCATGTCACACCCTAAAACCTTACCTGTGTTGATAATAAGTAAACATAATTACCGTAATCATACCCTGTATTTACCTTCAATTCTAAAGCCATAATACGAATGTCATCAAAATTAAAAAAAACTGTCTAATGTTGCTCTACTTAGTTTACTGTTGATTCTATTCTGCACGGGGGTACTTTTAGTATTCATATTTCACAATGGGTTCAAATTCGTTCAGAATGGATTAAGAAGGAACATGATTTTCAATTTAGGTCTTTTCCAAAATCTGTGTATTTAATCTTTGTTATCAATAATATTGAGTCTATCTATTGTATTGTATTAACCAAAAATGTACTGAGGTGACATAGTGTCTATCCATGGTGCATCATTATGACACTTCAGATGGCCCCTTTTGATTACTGGTACGATGTCCTAATCATTCTATGGTTTTTTTCATAGTTTTCATATTAAATGGATGTGAATCTCTGTTGCTGTTTGATCAGAATACAACATTAATAAGTTACATGTTATTTTTCTCATTGAAAATTTTAACTTTACATTCTTTATCAAACTTTATTTTTCACAAATAAAAAGATATTTAAATACACAATGTTCTGTACTGGTACATGTGAATTTAAATATCTCAAGATAACAAAAACCTACCACTTGAAACATGTAAGTGGTAGTCTTTGCCATGTTGATGAGTGCTCGTTTGAAGAGCTATCCAAACTGATACAGGATTAGTTTCTACTCGGGGTATACATTTTCTAAAACACGTGGTCGAGTAGTTAACACAATGACACTGCACATCTACAGACTTGTATATCTAGATAAATAAATCGAATTCATGCAAGTCTATCTCTACTGCTTAGCTTTCAAAATATAATAATCAATACCTTTAGAATAGAAAAACACTAAAATTGAAGACCTTCAGCTGTCTTACTCTCGTTCATAGATCTTATACGGACAAAAATTTGATTGGACAAACCCCTCCTCACAAAAGTTCGTGTTGCAGGGTTCCAGCTTGTACGGGGACACAGAGATAATTTATCAGACAATCACACGAACGATGTCAGAGTGATCCACACATAACATTAACATACTTAATATAGCATTTATTGAAATGATATTGAAAAGAAAGATTGATTAAGTTTTAGTCGGGTTCACTAATCAGGATGTGACGATTACTCAATACTTGAGACAAGTCAGTACATGTGATATAATTCTAGTCTCAATGTGATTCAATACCGATCATGATAACCTGCTATAAATCATGTTATAACTTAACATTTCAACCAACTATTAACACCCGGCAGGCTATGTCGGACACGTTGATTTGAATGGTTCATGTCTCTACAGCTTTAATATAAACATGAACATTGATCATTTTCACATATCTTTTCCAGTCAGGTGAATAATATTTTTTAGCAATTGTGCTCATCAGGAACTAGCTTTGTATTTCGTGATTTGATATAAAAAAAATCCCCAAGCATTTTTTGTTTAACAAAGTGAGAAAATTGATTCTCAACTAAATTAGAACATACAAGAATTACCCTAACAACAAGTGGAAACAGTTGCTTGTGCTCAGGAAACAACACAGGATATCTTAACTCATTCACTCCTGAAGACACATTTGAACCCTTCCAATTCAAAGATCGGAATAGTTTATAATGAAACTTTAGGGGTGAATGAGTTAATGGGAGTTTATCAGATCTGTTCTTATATCGATTAAGAAAAAAGTCTTAACTTTAAATGCAATAAAAAGTAAATCTACCAGTAATCTATAGTGAAGCGATACAAAGATGAACACTTAATTAACACACTGATAGAAAGATAAACATGAAGATTCAAACTTAAGTCTATTCTGTATCACTGGTTACAGGGTCACTGAACCATAACCTTAAACATTTTATTGAGCCATACCTAATTTGTTAACAGAAAATCTCAAAAATCTTTCCAATCTTTCAACAGAAGGATAAAGTCAGCTGACATTTTCCATAAAGGTTAATCTAGCTGTTAATTTCAATATCAATGTCCTACTGTGAAGTCAGTAATCGACTGATTTCATTGGTCAATATGGGTGAGTGCACATATACTATCAGTAGAATTCTACCTACCAAGCTGATAACGTTTTGTGGTATTTTTATTGAGATACAGTACAATATCACGACGAGTTAACCCTGAACAAAATAGAAATAACAGTAGTTAACATTAATATTTGTAAGATCACTATCATCATAAGCTTTGTACAAAACAGCCGTGAGTCTTTTGACAGGTACATACACCAATAATTTAAGGTTAGATACACAAACACAATTCAGAACACTGATGTAGGCTCGCTCATGCTGAAAATCAATAGCACAACACATTTCACATAAAACCTTGTAATAGACAGTCAACAATCACAATGTTT